TCCTTTTGAGCACAGTTCACCTTCGAGGCTCCCAGTTTTCACAATATATATCCCAGCATTTTACAGCACCACGTCATTATAGAAGATTCACCGTGGTTCTTCATTTGTCCTCATTTGTGGAAGATTCAAAAAACACCAAGCCTTGCCACCTTTACAGAGTGAAAAACTGTTACAATATTCTTTTTGGTGCTTTGCAGATACATGGCTGATTGTCCACCCAAGGTAACTCAAGCGCTTCACTGAAATTCTGAATAGCCAACTAATATATACAGTACAGCTACTAATAGTAGGTGTAAAAGGCGGTCTTACCCTGATACTCTCATTTCCAAAAGCATGGTTTCTTTTGCGGATTCGCTGTTCAAATTCCCATTGCTTCCTCCATCGCACTTTTTAGATCCCTTAGTTTTAGCATCGTAAAGTTATTGCATTCAGTGCTTCCAAAACTGCGAGTGTAGCGGCAGCACAGAGAGCTTTGTTGGTATTTCCCACCAGAAACAGCATTTGAGACTGCTTTGCGGGACAATACGTAAATGCGAGTTCTATTGTCTAAGTAAGAAGAGCCCTCACTTTATCGATCAACAGGTAATTATTTTTCACAAATTTTGAGATCTTATCTCCCTACACCGGAAAAACGCCCTAAAGTACATTTTGCTTTATTTCTCAAAACTAAAATTTCAACTAATGAGGCACACGTTTACAGTTCGTTTACAGTGAGTTTTCATCCTTTTTCGCTGAAATTCGGCAAGAATGTTGCCCAATAATGTGGCAAAAAAACTGGGTCAGGGAATTTTTAATTTTTGCCTCCTTTGAAAGTAATGAGTATTTAAGCAAAGGTAATGCGTGTTTTATAAAAACTTAAAGTTTAACAGCGTATTAAAAACAAACCGCACAAGTAATCAAAATCCCCCGCCATGGTTTTTTAGATCAAGGTGTGAAGAAGACGTAGTGATGTCGCTCGCTTTTTCCCGTTAAATTCTAACCGGAAACGAACTCTATTTGTGAAACTACATACTTTTGGAAAACGATCATTATTTTAGGAAAGGCTTCTATTTCTTGCCTTATATCAAGTAATAATCAGAATCTGCATTTACTAAGCTTTCAGAAAATATGTACTTTATTGGGGGTTTTATGAAACATGTGACCGAGAAGCAGCGACAACGCAAGGTTGTCATTTGGGGTACACTGATACCTTAAGCAATTTAGATTATGAGCTGGAGATTTCTATCATGCATAGAAATCAAGAGTGGATAATCTAATTGTTTTAGTATAAATCTACTGGTCATGGAGAACTTTACCTGAATCCCTTCATAGACACTTCGAAAACAACAAGAAGCAGCTGTCATTTTGTTAACAAGCGCACACTGCCACGCTACTCACTATCTATCACAGAATAGATAGTGAGCAGCGTAGCCAATCAGAGAACGGCATTCGTGATAGAATGCTAGTGGATTTATACTAAAGAGTTGTAGAAGTGCAGTTCTTAGCAGATGCAATCTTGCAGGGCATTAATACTGGCAAGCAATGCATGGGCCAACTGTCACGATAAACATCAAACGTTCTAATATTCACAAAACTACCACTTACAAAAGACTCACCTGTAAAATATATTATTTATATGTTTCCTGATATATGCTCTAAGTCCAAGGAACTTGCCATAGATTCTGTGCAGGACTGTCTTGAGGAAATCTCGTTCTCTTGGATCCTCACTATCAAAGAGGTCAAGAAGCTGAAAATAAAGGGAGAAGCAAACAGTTAACAGTTTACAGGAATAAACCAACTTAAAACAAAAAGTGAAGGAAATGTGAGTTTTTGTTACTGTGAGTTTCTTTCTTGAGACAATATATACAAGTACAGTTGAACTTCAACTATTGATTTTTGGTCAGACTTCTGTCTGTATTTCTCAGTTATGCTTTTATTATACATGTATATTTTGAAAAACAATTATCTGGAATCAAGACTATTTTAATGAATCCTACTGAGGCTGCCAAAAATTCTGCATAATCAGTCGAGGTTTCACCAGACACCAACTTCGTCTCTATGAGCTCATTATGCATCTCCCTTTCATTCCCTTATAAACAGATATATAAATATATATATTCCACACTACAGATTATCATTTTTCTGCCAGATAATACAATTTACTTTTTTCTACCTGCATAACAAATTTTTGATCTATAAACTTCTTGGCCAATGCTGGCTGAAAGTCTTGTGACTCCAAGAACCTCAGGAATAATTCATAGACAATCTAAAAGAATAACATAACCAGCATAAATAATGGCACTAGACACCTGGGGCCTGTTTCTCGAAGGTCTAAAAACGTTTTTACACCCAGAAAGCCACAGCAAAATCTTAAGCGTTATGACTACAAAGCTGATTTATTCACATATTCGTAATATCAAAAGAGGTTCTCCTCATACATTACACCTCTATTTTTAGATACAGATTAAACAAAAATGGCTTTGCAGGCCCGAAAAGTTCCCAGGACATTTGAGAAACGGGCCTCAGAAGAAAACCTAATGGGCAGCTCTGCTGTGCTATACAATAATTATTATGATTCTTTTAATTGTATGTTTGCTAAAAGCAATGATTGTGTATGGTTTCTTCGTGGTTGGTAGCTAATGACTATAAGACATCAATTAAATCTTGAAAATCTGTTCCTGAAGTTCTTCTATCTTTATATCCTTTATTTATTTATTTTTCACATCAATTTCAGAGCTGTTCTGACATTTCTGAAATATTTGTGAAATTTAAGATAGTGAATCCAAGATGGCAGACATATGAAACTATAATAATTATCATGACTGACATGTGATTATCACTATTAAGTACACAGGTTTGGATGCTTTACAAGCCATATAAGTTCAATTACTAGTCTGTGTTCAAATAAGTTTTGGAGATACAACAGTGTCAATTGTGACAACAGTGACAGCAGTGTCAATTAGTCACATGTTAAGAAGTTGCAAAAATTTCAGGGGTCGAAAAGAGTGTCGTCCAGTTGTCCAAGACAACTAGATTTTCCTCCTAGGCAAGTAACTCAGTTGCCTAATGGGCAAAGGTCCAGCCAAGTTGTCTAGTAACTAAATAAAAGAAAAGTAAACTTAGGCTTGCCCGGGGCAAGCAAAAATTTGAAAGAGAGCTGCTTCTCCAAAGGGCAAGCTGGAATTTAAGTTTTTTTTCCAAGCCCTGTATTTACACTGTATTTCAAACTCAACCTGTAGATGAGGCCAAGCAGCTTCTAAATTAGGCTCATCTTCTTCTGGATCAAATTCTGCACCATTAGGATTAGACGGTGGTGGTAGAGTCCTGAATGTGTTGACAGCAAACTATCAAACAAAAAGAAATGATTACCAAATTATTCTCTTCCATTAAGGGCATTCCACTAAAATAAAACCTGCACTGAGAGTTTTGTCAAACTTTGCCTATTAATTATTTATATTACAGGACCTTAAATTTTGAAAAAAATGGGGGGTCCCCATGTTCATTTAGGTGCAACAGCACCTTGTTTATACTCAATAAATCCTGATAACAACACCATGATTATACTCTGAGAATTGGTCCATATTTATTTTACATAGAGAAATTTACTAGTACTCAATTCAAAACAACAGAAAAAAAATGGTAGGTCACCTTACTCGTTTTCGAGAAAATGACAATTAACCTCTATGGTGAGGTCCAGCCATAAAGAAAAAGCCACAAATTTTTTTAATGTGCAGGCACTAATCATGCATCAAATTATGCACAATAGGGATGCGAATTGCACAATGCAATACTGGGGGAAGGACTTTAATGGGGCTCAGCCGTGCAGCATTTTGAGTTACTTTGGCCCCTCACAAAATTAAATTAAATTGAAGGAAACCTGAAAATAGCAGTTTACTAACATAGAAAATCACCAAAGAGATAATATTAAAGATTAGACGCTAAAAGAACAAGGATGGTTAAAAGGATTAACATGGATTACAAAGTTATAAAGTTATCAACTCAACTCAAACTTGAAAAATTCAGGCTAAACTTTTCAAGATGCGCAGAACATGACATAGCTTCTTCAATAAATGGTGACACATTACACAAGAATGCATAACAAATAACTCATATTTACCATGCGAGTTACTTCTGGATAAATTGGCTCTGTGATAACACCTTTGTTGTGTGTAATGAAGTCAACGATCTCATTGAGTGCTGCTCGCTTAACTTCTTTGTACTTAAGGTCACTGAGAGGATCCATGGCGAAATCGAACAAAATGCAGCACTGCTCAATCTTTTGAATAAAAAGCTGTTCCCTTTCATTTGGTGGTGCATCTGAAAACAAGTATAAAATGAACAAAACCTGAATAACGTAAACCAGCGGATTAGCATCCCCCCTGAAATAAGCATTCCTTAGAAAAGGCACCCTTCTACTGGCCAAAATTTACAATAAGTGCCTCCCCTCAAATAAGCACCCCCCTCCCCTCCCTGATTTATGAAAGAGTGCTTAGACAACAAAGAATGCACAGTTTTGGTCGTGTTCAATCACAAGCAAGTGATTATCGACTCATTTAAGCACTGTGCATTGACTGTTGCAACGGATGGTAGTGAAGATCTCCTCATTCATTGCCTAAAGCCCAACCAGCCTTGCGCACCAGGCCTTGACTGGCTAAAGGAGTCATATTACATAGTTCTTCAAGAGAGACAGGATCATTCTGAGATTTTTGAGGAACTCACACATACATATATTACAAAAAACTGATCATATCTGAACACAATTTAGGAAAAATTAAACACGCGCCTCTTCCCCTCAATTAAGCACCTCCCGCGAATGACCGAGTCTTCTCCCAAATTTGAAATAAGTGCCCTGGGTACTAATTCAAGGATTTACAGTAAATAGAAGAAAGCAATCCTAGCATCAGCTGGTTTGTTCAACAGGCCAGACTTATAACATCATCGCCTGATTAACACTATCCACTTGACTCTGAAGATCAGTTCTGCTCATTTCAGAACTACCCTCACCCAAACGATCACACAAGAAAAACTCGTGATACTCCTGGGTTCAAACCATTTACTATTTAAGGTAACTGTTATAGTAAAACTGTTAGGTTTAGTGGAATGAAAGAGTTTTACAGGGTGCAATCTGTGTGAACATGAAACTTGATCCCAAACCTGCAATCTGTTATTGTGAGCTAACCACTGTTGAGTCACTGGTATTTACATGTAGGCTAAAGTGAGCTCTACTGCAGTGCCACTTCACCATTTCATGTTTTAAGAACACCCTAGCAGGTGTTAGGACACCCAGTAGAACAACTCTCTAGATCTTCAAGTGTCTCAAGCATTGTTGCCACAGTAAGGTCAAGGTACCCACAGAGAGCAACAATAACTTCATTCCGTTTCTTTACTTGGGTTATACTTCTCATAGATGAAGGAATTCATAGACCTCTCCAGGATATAAAATTCTCAGAACCAGTAGAACTTACTAGAAATTTTGAACTGTAAATGGTTGAAAATATGCTTTGCAAGCAACTGAATTATTAAGAATGTATTAAGTGTTGTGGGAGAGGTTTCAAAAGCAATTTTATTCTTCTTTATTTTTTCCTAAGATGCACACAAAATTCCAAAAGTTTTCTAGGAGAAGGGGCAAAAAAGGAATATTTATTTTCAAGGAACACTCAGGTATCCTAGAAGATAATTCTAAAATTCCAGGTATTTTCCAGGAATTCCAAGAATAATTTTTTTGTATATTATTTATTCCAAGAATAATGCAAACCACATTGAAAATAAGAAATGATTATTAAAAAAAAACAAACAAAATTATTTTAAACCTTGCACAGGAGCACTTTTTGGGAAGCTGTCTAATATTGACAGGTTGTCAGCGGTATTGTGACGCAACTGATAAAAATCTGTCTGTGTTTACAGGCTGTTCATTTAGGAACCATCAAACAAATATTATTGTGAAACAACAAAACACATTTCTACTGCTTATCTCAAAATAGTAGGATTTTAATACAAATACAAATGGAGAACTCATGAATACCCTTCACCAGCAGGAAATTAGCATTTCGCTCTCAACTGCACAATGGATCAAAAAAGGACATTGAGTTATCAAAAAAACATTCATGTAAAGCGTAATTCAGTTAGTATATTGTCATCATTATTGCATCAAGGAAAATATACCGAGTTTAATGGCCACTTTTTAACAGAAATTTGCCATCAATAAGCTCAGCTTTCAACTGGACAACTATCATTTTGGGCACGTCTTGGAAACTTTTACCGAGAAAGGGACAAACCAGTGCAAAGCCATAAGCGCATTGTACAAATCACCTGCACCCTACTAATGACTACTTTTTACAGGGGAAAACAGTACAAAGATAATTAGAAACTTAGCCTTTGGTTTATCTCTAGCTTCCTAAGAGAATAATCTTTGTCAGCAAAGAATAATCTACAAAAAAATATATACCACAGGTGTGGAGATTTCCAAAACAAAAAGGTAATGTGGTATTAATTATTTGAATTTTTTCCATCAGTTGCTAAACTATTCTATATCTGATATTCTCTTTCTCAAGAAAAAAAAATCTGACCAGCTCAATTGACACCCTTTTAGGCACAAATCGTTTTCCCTATTGTTTACTCTTACAATGTGTACTCTTAGGTAAATATGACCTCCAGTGATGCGCCAATGAAAAACATCTTGGCATCGCTTTCCGAAATCACAAATGCAACGATTTTAAACGCCTTTTCATGGCCAAAAAATACACGTTACCAATCGAAAAATTTGTCTCACAACACTAACCCTATTGCAACTTATTTTTAATTGAAGAATTATATATTTGAAGTCGATCCGAAGTGTTGTTTACAGTAGTATCCACCTGAGAATTTTTCTGTTATCTGTAAAAAGATTTCCAACCATAACACACGCGGTTACGTTTTTTGACAGACTGAAAAACAAAAATGGCTTTTTGTGGCTCGCAGGCCGGGGACTGCTGCAGTGTCAGGACTGAACATTTCTAAACGAATTTATCAGATTAGTAAGTTCCTTAGTTTAGTTTTAAAATATTCACCTAAATATCGTTACCGTATTTCGGGCATTATTTGAACAATCTTCCGTTAATTCAGAGCAATGTCTCTAGATGTTGCTGCAAAATGGTAGCAGTTACAAAACGAAAACACTAACCAGCGTTACAAAATGGATAAAATTGTAAACAAAACTGACCCGAGGCGAAAGCAGAGGGTACATTTTTCCTAACATAGCAAAGACCCCAGTGCGACAAGCATTAATAGAGCAATTTGCGCGAAAGCCGCCTGAATACAACAATGAAAAGGGCAAACGATTACCATTTCGAATAAAAAACAATTTTCGCTTCAAATATAGCACGTTCTGAATACCCCTGGGTATTTAAAACGTGCAAAAGAATAGGAAAATGTTTTCTCGAATAGCGCGGCGTAATCTTACCTTTCAAAGGAGGCAATTTCACTATCTCTCGATTGTCGCTCACATTGAAAGACGACGAACTTTGCCGCTTCTCCTTCCTCATAATTGACGGTCCATTTGCATATTGCCTGAGCTTCACTGCTTGACTCGGAGGATGAGAAACAGGCTGAGACTTTGGCTTTGCCTGCACAAGGAAAATCACACAGAAAAATCAATCAGTCAACACCCATCCCAATAAACAATATCGTGATCTTGGTGTGATTCACTCAGGCTACGAAAGGATTTCTCGGCTCAAACACGAAATTTCCACCTTACCTCGTCACTGACAGCGTCTCCATTTTCTTTATTCGCTTGTTTAGCATTTCCCCCACTTTTGGAAGCCTGGTATTTGACAAGAGAAACAAAAAGAGAGCGTGTACGGTCGAACAACCGATCTGTCACAATTGCCAAGTTGTGCTCACAACCGTGTTCAAGGCACTTGCGGCAAAAATGAACAAAACACACGACGCCTGATACATTACCTTCTCTTTCTTCCCTTTATTTGGCATTCTCGTGATCCATTTAGCTAGTGTCAACGGAAAACAGAGACGACATGCCCATTTTTTGCAGCTACGAACGTCGACAGGCTGTGAACATCGATATTATGCAGTTCTCTTCAGAGCAACTGAAAACTGTTTGTTGATTGGTCGATATTTTCTATGGCATTCAACTTATCACGTGGTCTTTCCTTTGATGAAAGCGCGGGAATAGTTGCGTTCGTCGAAGAGAAATTTCTGACTTCTGCTGCCATTTCACGCACCCATTTTCTCCACCGTGTATTAAATAAGTTTGATTTTTCCTCTACCAGCTGCAACTCAGGCTATTTTATTGCAGTTTTGATGATTTCATTTATTTATTTTTATTTTTGTGTTCATTTCATTCCCAGCGCCTTCGTGGTTGTGGCATTTGCTTAGTTAGACTAGAAACCTGTTCCGTGACTCTTTGACCATGCTGCTATTTTTAATGTATCCGCTAAGCACATGACGAAATAAAATCACGTAAATTCGCATGGGTCAAACACCTAAATTGATTACAAATCCTTATATCTCAAGACGTTGTATAAAAGTAGTATCTATAAATAGAAAACAAACTGCGGTCACAAACATGACAAAACAACGCATGTTGTAAAAACCTTGATTTAAGAACTTAACGTTTCGTATGCTTCTACATGCATCATCAGAAGTATGTATGTAGAGGCATACGAAACGTTAAGTTCTTAAATCAAGGTTTTTACAACATGCGTTGTTTTTGTCATGTCTGTGACCGCAGTTTGTTTTCTATTTTCACTCAAGCTGAAATGGCCGAAGAATAAAAGTGGTATCTATCATAGGCGTGCGGGCACCTTTTGACTTCGGGGGGAGGGGGGCGGTGACCTTCCTGCCCGAAAAAATTACGAAATGCCCGAATGCGTGAGTGTTGAAAACGGGATGCATGAAAAACAAATGGAACTGCTATAATTCAAAAAAAAAAAAGTTATATTTAAAGCTTGCATACTCAATGGCCTCTGTCAGCAGTCTCAATTTTTGCTCGAATTTTTGCAATTTTAGCCCAAAAAATTACATAATTTCCATCGTTCCCCCCCCCCTCCCCCCTGCACCATGCCGCTTCAGCTCGAATGCTTATGTATCTACTATAGTAGTTTGGAAAATGGCTCACTAATATTTTTTCGCGATCCCTCAGAGCTGCTGAACTACAGTGAAACAATGTTGACGAACAGCTTTTTGGATAAGCATAAGTTTGAAAAATTGTACGCAACCACAACGACGAAGTCAAAAACAAGATCGATAAAAATGGATTTATTTTATCTCTGGATCCATCAGCCGCTATCAATGTGCAAAGTGTAAAGACAGAATTCATCTTCAAATAAAAATAAAAAATGGACTCCAAAGCAAACTAGCTGCAAAAAATGGGAGAAATAGTAAATCAATCAATTAATCAATCAGTCAATCTAATCTGTCTATAACCTCTTTCCAAGGAATTTGGAGGGAAGATCACAGACCAACCATGTAAAATCAGTTCGATTAAATAGTTAAAATGCTAACATTAAATAAAAATGATCTAAAATGCTCCTGTTTCCTTTTAGCGTACGGGCACCTTCGGGCTTGAGAGGCGGGGAGGGGGTGGTGACTTTCTTACCCGAAAAATTTACGTAATGCCCGAATGCGTCCCGAATGCGAGAGTGTTGAAACGCGCTCAAATTGCATGAAAAACAAAAATGTTCACAACTCCCACATCTAATGAAACTGCTATAATTCCAAAAATAGTTATATTCAAGGCTTACATAATCAATCAATCATACTCTATCAACAGTCTCAATCCGAGTAAAATCTACAACTTATCAAAGAAAAAAATCTAAAAAAAGTAACTAGCTAGAAACTTTATTTACGAGTTTTGGAAATCACGCAAACAGCATTATTTTGTAATGTTTTCTCTTCAAGTGTTGTTGTTCGAATCATGAGCGTTTTGCCCGTAAAATCACATTATTTCCGTAGCTGAGGAGGCTGCAGCCCCCCTCGCCCCACCAACCCCTCCCCTCCTCCAGCTCGTACGCCTATGGCAGCAGAGGAATGAACGAAGTTAACGCACGCGCGGAGCTGCTCTTCTATTCTTATGTAGGTGAGGTTCTTGACGTCATCTATGCCGCGGAGTTGAATAAACTATAACTCTTCAAAATGGTT